TGGCATATAATAAATCCAAAATCAGAAATCGGGCAGCAGGCCGTTCCTGATGCCGATCCCGAAACGATAATAAACTATTTGGGGGCCAAATTGGATCCTTGGAGGGGGATACTGGAGCCTCTATCCAGGAAATTATAGACGTCGCCAGCAACTTGAGTAAGATGGAGCTAAAACCGCACCAAAAAGCCGAATAAATAAAGGTGCACCACTTGTCAAACTATATTCATAAACTTGTAGCCAATGCACCTCTTCTGGGAACCCTAGACAGGCTGGATCAGGAAATTAGAACAATTATAAAGAAGATCCTACGCCTGCATCCGTCGACAACAGATGGACTAATTTACACGGACAAAAGTCACGGGGATCAGGGGGTCCCGAGGATGGCAAACATTGTTAAATTAGCAAAGCTAAGGAGCCTGACCAAAATGGGAAATTCGACTGATGCAGCAGTCAGGCAAGCCTGTTTAGGGCAAGAGGGAATTGCAAAGAAGTATGCGGCGTCTATGGGCCTAGAATGGCCGACATGTTTAGAGAGGATAGAGGCGACGCAAATAGCCCTCAAGAAAAAAGACAGATAAATGGAGGCAACTCGTCTTCCAAGGCCATGGTGTCAGGGAGTTCTTCGGGGATAAAGTCGGGAACGCCTGGCTTTATACCCCGGAATTATTAAAAGCATCCAGGTATTTGGATGCATTAAAATTACGAACAAATACATTTGGCACCAGAGTTGCCATGAAAAGAGCAAAAAAGGAAATAGATTACACGTGCAAAAGATGTGGAACCCAAGCAGAGACCCTAGGACACATACTAGGCAACTGCACCCATAGCGAACCCATGAGAATAAAGAGCCAAGGGCAAAATCCGCTGTGCAATATTTGAAGAACCCGAAATAAACGTGGTTGGCGACCTGCGTAGACCTGATTTGGTTATCAAAGACCAAGATAGGGTCTACGTAGTGGATGTTACCGTACGTTATGAATACAAGGAAAACCTGCGGGACGCAGAGCGCGAGAAGAAAAGAAAGTACAAAGATAATTCGTTTTGCGAATAAAATTGTGGGTTGCAGAGGAGCAATGCCCAAGGACACTAAGGAAAATATGAAAGTCCTAGGGCTCAAAGCGAACCACATGCTTACGGTCTCATTGATCGCCCTCAGATCGTCGATCGAGATGGCTAACCAGTTTATTGACTATGACTACACTGTGTAGTCGTAATAATTTATGTATTTATTATTTTATAGTAATAAAGAGTATGTCTAGTCAAAGACGAAGGATTGGTTCACCTGACAATTTTATACTCTTAACATGCATGAGAATTTTATACACTAACTGCATGACAAATTTTATCAGCTGACAACAAATGGACTGTCTTCAGGCTAGACCTAAGAGAAATTTTAGAACATGACCAGGCCGAAAGGCCGGTGCATGCATTTTACACAACTAACAAGCATGCTCAAGACGTGGCCGTAAGGCCCAGATAAATTTCAATACTGGACGAAACAGCTGCCAGTTGAAATTTTAATTTTAGCCCGTCTTGGTCTTTTACACCAAGCGGTGCGAGTCTTACTATACTTTTGTATAGTAAGGCGCGGGGCGCAGTAAAACCCGGGGCGACGCCTTCGTGCGGCTTCCCTGACAACACACTTCGGTGTGGCTAAGTTCGCCTCCCGCTATGGGTCCCCGTTCCTAATTTTTCCACGACCGTGGGCAAATCCCTTGGCAGCGAGGAACTAGAAAGTAGATCCGCGTTATATTAGTTGTTATTTATTTTATTGTTATATACCCTACAGGTGGGTTTTGTACCCTGGAAGTCTTAGTACAGATTCTAAATATATGAGGTTAGTTTTGTGGCTCCACCATCAAAGGGACGAATCCCCACCAAGTCCTTGTCAATACAATTTCTTATCTGAGTTTAACCCCCCCACTTTGATGAGACAGAACGAAAGCAGTTACACCTTATATTCTACAGTAGGTCGAGTATGTGTGTAAATAAATAATAATATACACATTATAATGCGTGTTGGTGTAAGCAACGCTGCAGACAAAATAATGTATGCAGTATGCATGGTACTTTATCCCTCACGTAAATAATGTTCCTAAACTAGATCATATTCTCGAAATTCAGTCCATTTAATGGTCACCATTATGTAAAGGCAGCGCGATTAGAACGTATCTACGAAAGAAGCAATGCGATATAAATCAAAAGCCAATTATGTTAATTCTCTCCAAACAGGGCGGTATTGAGTAACAAAGATTCTACTATCGAGAGCAGCCAGCCCACCGGCAATTTTTATTTTCGGTGCGTCACGAGTAGCTGCTGGATTACGATATTCGGTTCGCGGGAAAAAAGTTGGAAAATTATTCTTCTCCGATCCCTTCTCCCCTTCACGTTCAAACCGAGGCATTTCGCCTGCTACGATCACTTTTCGCTCTACCATGCTTTTATCTCTCATTCCCCGTTGAAAGCGCCAGAGGCGTCACCATAGGGCCGATATGAGGGAACTTTTAAAATTACCCGGACTTCCCGGCTGGGAGATAATATAGTCTATTAAGGATAGTCGACGTCAGATCAGCTCTGAGAACAAACGAGTGCTGCAAACTCTCAGGATTGACAGCCAATAAGGAGACGGGGCTAATTTAATTCTTGAATTTCGCTATGATCAATAGAGAGAAGGGTAAATAAATAAATTGTTTGTCAGATTGATTTATTTTTTTTTTTTTGAACATAATGGGTATTCGAAATTGTGGTCAATCAAAAAGGAGGTGATTCCTTCCGTCAAAAGTAAGTCAAAATTTAGAATATTTTTTCATATCAGATTACATATTCAAAAAAATCTATTTTTAATATATTTGTAGGTCTTTTACGCGATATGAAGGGAACGTGGACGGGGTAAAATACACCCACACAATTACTCTGTGAAGTCTTTTATTTTTACCTGCTGGCTCGAGAGGTCAGAGAATGACTGACTGCCTCCCCAGCTTTTTCTTGTTCCACTCTTCACTACTTTTCCTAATTGGTTAATACCGATGCGTCGGGTTAACCAATCAGGAATTTCGTTACTTAGCCTGCGCTTGCCCCTTGCGCCCTTGGCGCGCTTTTTCCAGGACAGCGAGGCTTTCTAGTGGAGGGGCGAGTTCGCCGTCGGAGACTTGGCAACTCATTGTCAGCGAAATTTCCTCTAGGTTCGGTACCTGTGATATGTACATGTTCGGCCTCGTGGCCCTGTACGGCGAACCTTTCGGAAATCTTAGTTTTATGGCGGGGCAATTTACTATTGAGACCGTCGGTGAAAGTTTCTACGAAAAACATGCTTTGTAATATTTAAGAAAAGTTAAACAGCTAAAAACGGTTTCCTCAAAAATAGCTTTTGCTAGCGCGCCCGTCATAAACCGCGCTGGTCATCTGTGCGCCAAGTGTGGCCTGTAGCTGGCCGCTACATATTTATTTTTTATTTTTTATTATATTATATTATTCATTACTTTTGTGCATTTTATACATATCTATAATGATGTAACTTAAATAACGAAACAAGCTTCTGTCACAACGTTCTGCGTGTCTCATACAGAATTCTGTTAGATGTATTAACCCTCGCACACCGAATGCCGGGTCATTTTGACCCAACTCGCTTACCGCAACAGCCGACTGTGTCGAATTGGTTCTCATCTTTCTAACATAAAAAAAGACGCATCTAAATTTTACACTGCGTGGTAGTTGGAAATGCAACGGATATTTCGAGTCAATATTCAGGATATGTAGCAGCAGCGAAGGGAAACAATGTCTAGAGAAGTTCAGCGAAAAAATTCAGTCCGTTATGAGTTCTGCATTTTGGTGGAATTATTTTTAAATTGCATGCTGGTAAATGATTCGTGTCTTTAAATTTTTCATCATATATAGCTGGATTGGTCTGTCCAGACCACGAATCTATTATGGATAAAAATGGCTCCTGTTTCACATATGGCAAAATAATATTGTCCAAATATTCTTCATATGTGTTTGATTGTAACTTTCCCGATTTTGTGCAGGTTATTGTTATATTTTTTTTGTTCCATGAACTGCTTTATTTTTTCTTGTATTTGTGGCCCAAAAGTTCCACTAGCCTCTTGCAAACAAATGAAAACTTTTGGGAGCAATTTTCCTGACAACGTAAGAGCATATTGTGCAGTATACGAATGTGTCATTTTCGTTAAACTTTACACACTTGCTTCTGTTATTTTTTCACCCACAAACGAAAGAGTTCTTGTAGGTGGTGTGTAATACTGTGCACCAGTTTGGTCCGTGTTGATGACATAATCCGGATGAAAATTGTGAATTATCTGTCTTGCTTGGTCCTGGAATAATTTTGCAGACTGTTCTATCGTTTCAAGACTTTCTATTACCCTGTTTGTTACATATTTAGTAATTCGACGTTGCCGGATATTGTGTCGAATTTTGAAATTTTTTGCCCAGTGTGAAGATGCCGTAAATCGTATTTCCGGTCCATATTGGAAAGCAGCCGCTAACGCCCATAATTGAAGCTTTCGCGTAAAAACAATTGTTCGTTTGTCGTGTCTTGCCTCCCAAAATCTGTCGAAGACATACGTGTCTATTTGCTCCAATTTATCCTGCATGGAACCACCTTGTTCAACGTGTTTTATCAAGATACAGGTAAAAAACTTTAATGTTAAATATCTCGTAAACTATTAACCGTCTGCCCCCAAAACCAGGTATCAGTGGCTTCAGTTTTTCAAGTTCTATGATTGTGCCAAAGATCGTTAAAATCTGAGAGTTACACCTCGGGACCTTTCCTTGTAAGGCGAAAGATAATGTTCATGATTTTTATACTGGTTTAGTTTTCTTTTAAGGATAATATATTTTGGTTGATTTGAACCTTAATAAATAAACATTATTCATAAAATTGTATTTTATTTCATCAGAAATTGAAATATTTCACTGAAAAGCAACTCTTTTTTTCTTAGGAACAACTTACCCCAATGCGATAACAACTTGCCCCACGACGGAATTAGAAGTTACGCTTAGCCGAATTGCAAATAAATGATTCTCTACGAAAAACTAATAACAATATGTTAAATGTAAGCTCAGAATCTTAAAGTACAATAAATTTAACAATAAATTAGTTAATAGTGAAGAGAATAACTGAATTATTTCTCGGTCGTTCTTTATGTTTTCTCAAAATTGTAACGTTTAGCCCCAGTCTCCCTTACAGACGAGAAATTAATTCAGAATTTTTCTATTATCTTAAGAGTGATTGGGGTAAGGTAATTAAAATTTCATTCAGAATTCTGTAGGACGAGAACTCTGTAAAAACAGACTTACAATTCTGCATACAATGTTCTTCCTTAATTGTAAGTTCTATTACTACAAATTTCCACAGCAATCTTAAAGTTTAAATGCAAAATTTTAAACTTACCACAGAAACGTAAATAATTTAATATTCATTACACAGAACCGTTCATTGAGATTAATTTATATTTAAGAAACTTTTGTGGCGGTAAAAGATTGTGCCTTAATTCGATGCAAGAATTGTGTTTCTATGAACAGAAAGAATTGAAGAAAACAGTTTTTAGCGAGTGACTACGAAATTCTTCAATATTCCTAATTTTTCCAAAATTATTACTACTTGTTACACTAACTTGGTACAAAATTCGATTCCACAGAGAATGTAATACGTTTCCGTTACAGAACATTTTAAAACATTTCTTTAAAAGTAATCAACCAAGAAAAACAAACCATCCAAGGTTATAAAATTTAAGATAGCAGCAAATGATCCTGAATATTGACTTTTTGTAATGCTACACATTGCAACATGCGCGTAAAACAACAAAAACAAAATGCAAACATACTAACGCTACCAAACTGAGATGATATTCCAAACTACGCTCTTAAAACCCTCTGCATCTCTCATTTTTGTAGCCGCATGAACAATAAAAGTTCTGTTCGTCAGAATTTAGCTCTCGTAATGGGCAATTTTAGCAAACCGTAAAACAGGATACCTAATAGAACACGAGTAGAAGCACTACGTCGAGTCGTAAAGTTGAAAACATTGAATCTACAACTATCAAACTGTCTTCTGTAGATATCTCAAACGAATAGGTTCGTAACATACGCGCGAGAAGTATCTGCCCATGTTTGCTTGGACGTAGAGCAAAAATAACAAAAGTATCGCATAACTGCACATGAAAAGCACTCAGTTTGAGTTCTACAAAGGAGA